ATGCTAAAGTTCTACATCAAAATCAGTGATGGCTCAGCTCCCATTCATTGAGGAGGCACTCACAGAAGCATAAACACGCCAAAAGTCTGATTCTGAAGATCCTGCAAAGAACTCGCATCTTTAAAGGATGAAAATCCAACAAATAGAGCCTAACACGAATGATTAGCTTCAAATAGCAAAGAGGGTAATGAAGAGGACGAAGCGAACATAAAAAATGGATAATCCGATTTTCGAATAGATATAAGAAGGTGTTCGCCAATAGTATGAGTTTGTTCTTCTGAAGCATTGCCAGACTTGCACTAAACATTTCGTAGCAAATTCTTTCCGATGAGGTGGTTTCTTGGTTCCTGTCAGAAAAAAGCTGGATCTTGCAACTAATGCCTTTCTCATATGATCCAACTTTCGATGAACAAGGACTAATTCATGACTATTCCTCCAGACTTCGGGCCAATCAATTAAATTTGTTGAACCAGGAGTACATCCGATAGTCCTTTTTTATATTAATTATTCCATCATTGCTCGAGGCATTGACGAACCAAACTTACTGCATGATCCATTCAACAACATTTCCACCCGGGGGACAAGGATCTGCTCCATTGGATTCGAAATACTTCTTAACAGTTTCGCAATCCTCACCAAGCCTACCAAAATATATTGGTCGACCTCCAGGGCCAAGAAAAAGAAGACTATCAAAGCGTTGAAATACTGCTGTGGACGGTTGATGAATCGCGCATAAAATAGCTTGACCGTGAGCTGTCATCTTTTTCAAAAGCTCAATTATTTCCCATGATGTACTACTATCAAGCCCAGTGGTAGGTTCGTCTAAGAAGAGTAGAAGCTTCGGCTTAGCGGCAAGCTCGATACCTATAGTCAGTTTCTTTCTCTGTTCAATGTTTAATCCTGAAATGTCATTAGTCTTTACGTAAGAATTGAACCGGGTCTTACGAGCCTTCACCAGGAACTCCTATAACAGCATCCGCATACACATCCATCTCCAACAGCTTGATCATCTCTTCCACATAGGCAAGTTTCTCTTTCTTGGTGGTCTTGCTTGATTGACGCATAATCGCACTAAACTGTAATGCTTCACGCACTGTCATTGTTGAAAGGTGAAGGTCCTTTTGTTGAACATATCCCACTTTGCGTTGAAACGATATATCTTTTATGCAGCCATCAACAAAAGTTTCACCAGAAACTACACCAACATTACTTCTAGACGCCAGAACATCTAACAATGAAGTTTTCCCTGCCTCTGTTGGACCCTATATGTAATCCTTATCAGCATTGGTGTCAAGCTCGCTCCATAGGACGTACCATAAGTGCGGTCAAAGTTCCTGGTTTTACCCAACCATCAACATGATCTAAGATTCGACGTGTACCATCTCCAGTTTTGATATCCAGACAGATACCTTTCCATTGAAAAGTTGATGTTTGTCTTTGGATTTTGGTTATTGGATCGCCATTCCCACCATACCTATGAGTATCTCCTCCTGAGTAAATTTCAAGATGCCTTTGCCTCTTGGGCAGAGGTTTGTGTCCCCGTTGAAATAACGGTATCTCTCCATTCATTTTCTCCATCGACACATGAGTAATAACGAGTAGGTACACGGCCATATAAGATGCCATGAAAGCAAATAGAATGCTCATATTTCTAAACACATTAGTTGATTATGATCTTGAAAAAATCTCCCCCTTCCCCGTCATCAAGTACAAAAATATTACGAGATTTTCACATACCGCCATAAGTGGTTAGGTTGGAACCCAAACCGGAGCTCAAGATATATAGTCCCCAATACATCTTCAAACCCAGAGATAGCCCCAACAACAGCGCATACTCGGTTATGAGGGCTTGTACTAATGTAAGATGGTCCATTCGGCACGATATTTCCACATGGAAAGACCCGACCTGAAAATTCGTTGATAATTAAACTTTCATAGGCGTACGCAACCGGATCAACATATGTGATCCACCCTAACCATGGCACCATTTTCATATGAGGGACCGCGAATCCGGCATACATCATAAAAGCCAAGATAATGACTGCTTTTGAGAAGATGGCTTGAGGGTGAGATCGACAGGAAGCTCCAATAGCTCTGAAAGCCATGGAAAGTGTCAAACTAAGAACAAATGAGAAGGCAGTGAAAGTAAAAAATGCTACAGATGTTCTCCTCAAACTTGTCATGAAGTATAGAATAGCGTTAAAAAGAACGTTACTGCAAAGTCTGACTGGTATGCTGCATAGAATTGAAGCAAATGCTTCGGCGAATGGATGAACAAATGCATATCTCGCTTGTTTCTCCACCACCAGGCGTTCATTAGACAGTTGGAGAATCTAGAGTGCTGTCAGCGATGCAAAAGAATACCTGAAAGTTCGTGTCACTACCTCAAGTGAGTCTGTGAAAGCATTCAATAGTATTGTGATAAACAGTAACATACTTCTGTTGTTCATACTGCTAGTATCATCTGGCATATCGTAGAAGACGATACCCATGATTAGAGCCATGAAACTGTTAATTGCCAGGACAAAAATTGTGTGGTTCATGTCACTTCGTAACCTTTGAAGACCTCTAACGATACACAAAAAGACTTGTTGTCTTGGACCGAGTTTATATGCTGATTGGGCTCTCCTGGAGTTCAATGAGTAAGTCAAAGATCAAGATTGGGATGTAAATCAAAGACGAACAGATATTTAGCCTGTTGAGATCTCCTCGCAGCGGCAAAATCCAACGCATGAGTCCCATCAAACGGGAATTCATTTTCATAAGCTTCAAGGTCCTGCATAAGTCTTGCGTAATAACGACATGTTTTCCATACCATAACGAATTCTTCGGGAGTTCGTGGCACTCGGAATTCAAAACCTGGTCTTTACAGTTGTTAGTGTCAAAATTAAAAAGGATAAGCTGATATTTTACTGGATTATCCTTTCATCTGGACTTGTGAGGGATGTCAAGAAGTCTGCTGTAGTTTGATATGGAGGACAAACGAATCCCATATCGATGAAAAAAGATTTTGCTTCATGGCATGGGCCGAAGTATATCTGCCGTCCCTCGTATAGAACCTATGGCGTCAATCAGTAATGCTTCACGGGGAAGATGTGAAATATAGCATACTGTAACTTTATCAAATAGCTATACGCAGAGTTAGCAGTGTTCTCTCTAGGCCTGTAGCCATATCTTACATCATAAACTATTTCAGGTACTTGATATAAAGCAATGCATGCCGTCGTTCTTCCAAGGGTAGTAGAAAGTCGAATCATCTTACAAAACTCAAGTGCATGAACGTTATCGAAGCCTCTGGTACAGTTATCCCAACACTGTAAAGAACATCCGCTCAAGGCTGCTTCTGCGATGCTAACTCTCTTCCTTTCAGCTCCACTGATACCTTTAACGGCATCATTTCCAACAAGTACATTTTCCACGTGACTAAGACCTAATGTTTTCATCATCACATCCCTCATATGCTCTGCGTATACTTTTCGAGTTACTCCAGGAAAAGTAAAATCACACGGTGCTCGAGCTTTAGCCGCAAAAAGTAGCGTCTGACCAACCGTCAAGTTTGAGAAATGGCTATCCGACTCGGCCAAATATATTGTTTCGCCTCGAAACCGTGTGTGCATCTCGCTCACAGAGACTCCTTGGTAATTGATATCCGAGTCCGGCTCGACAAAGAGTTCATGAGTGTTCCCAGATATCGTTTTCAAGAACGAAGAAACTCCACTTCCTGGCCGACCAAGAACCAACAGCATTTCACCGTGCTCAACCAAACCATCAAATCCTTTCAATATCTGAACTTTCTGTTTTCCAGATCCAACCAACCAGCGAGCAAAAGCGCCAAGTTCAAACACAATATTTGCAACATTTTTCTGATAATTAGTTGGCTTCCTAAAAGCATAAACGGTCAGATTTTCAAAAGAAAATCCTGCACTTCTCCGAGGATATCGTCTCGGATCCTGTCCCATGAAGGCAACCAAATTGGCGATCCATGCCTCCGGATTGAAATTGCTGCTGCGGGGATTCAACGGAGAATTTGGAAGAAGATTCAAGAAAGGATTTTTGAATTGATCTGATGTTTCTGGCGGCTTCAATGGGCTGAGAAGTGTGGATGGAAGCTCGAATCTTTGCTCCGCGAGTGAAGGGCGAGGTAGTGATGAATCTTGAAATGGATCACTTGGTTGAGGGGCACATTCTACTTTCTGATGCTTCTCACGTGGATAAGCTGCATGAATTCGAGATGGTGGGGTAATTGGAGGCTCCTTTAATTTTGTGTATCCCGAATTGTCCATGATGGTTTGGTGTATGAAGGTCGAGAGATTCAGTTGAATATATCCCATCAACAAACGCGCAACAACAAGATCTAAACCTCTCGAACTTGGGATCATGCGTAAAACAAATCCGTATGCCACAAAAATAGAAGGAGCACTTACTCTGCCCTGACCCGATGGACGCACCTACCAAATTTTGATCATCAACTGCACAAATTCAACTACTAGGTACCCCTCTCTTGATCGGTCCTTTTCAGAAAGCCAGTTGAACCTATCTCAACAACAACAGACTCAATTCCTCCCTCACCCTCTCCTTCACCCTTCACAAACCAAATTCTTATCCCCAGAAAATGAAGGAGCACTTCACTTCTGTCCCCCCTCCCCCTCCCCTAACCTAATGAACGCACCTACCTAACGACATCTCTCTCGATCGGTCCTTTCTCCTCAGAAAGCTAGTCTGATAGCAATCGGGTAGGTAGTAGATAAGAGTAACTCCCATCGATATTCCCTTTTCTTAATCTCGCAAATCGGTGAGATTTCTTGTAATTACCATGGGCTGACTCTTCACATTCCCCTTAGAAACACTTACCTACCAAACAGGTACTCACATTAATAACCCGGAAGATATATGACCAGGCTAAAAGAAAACTACTCCTCATCCATTCACTGAAATTCAAAGAATATACACCAGATCAGATTACAGTGAAAAATGTAACAAATCTTAATAGCCACATACAAAACTAAACATTACCTCTGCTCGCCCCTCCCCCGCTGGATATATTTCAAATACTTCGACCGCTATTCAAACATAATCAACACGCTCAAAAGAGCAAATCATGTTTGACAACTCGAACACACGCTGACGCACTGCTTAAATTTACTTCTCTGTACCAATTCGCTAAAAATCTTATCCTCCCTTTCCCCTTAAATTACAATCTCCAAACACTCTCTCATTCCTGCCAATTTAACCAGTTTTCTCTGGTACTGTTCCAGGTGCAAAATCAGTTGCATTCGTTGTCGCCACGGGACTAGCAACTGTCTCCCCTCCTGTAATTGTTCCTCCAGTTTGAATTGATTCAGGTTGTTTTTCCGCGGGATAGCTCATTGAGCTTTGTTTTGAATCAGTCGGGGATGTTGGACTCAATGGACCCATTGGACTGATTGCTTCTGCTGGACTTGATCCCACGACCGATTTGATGACTTCATACCACTTATTGGCATCCGCTGCCGAATGCGCCTTAAAGGCAATTTCGGAAGTACCAGACAATTTACTTCCTATTCCCTTGGAAACATCTTTTCCTTTGATATTGAATTTTTCGCCGCTAGTACTTCCAATTATAGCATCTGGAAGGTAGATAGATAACTCCGGAACGGGATCTTTGCGAACATTGTCGTTGTCTTTGAATTCGTGGAGGAATTTGCTTGGAGTTACGACATAGTAGCCAGTAGTGTAACCGGCGAAGCTCAACTTGTTTCTGCTCTTGCGTTCAAGCGAACCCTCGATAAGAGCCTGAGTGCTAGCGTGATTCTGGTTGGGGAAGCTAATTGCTTCTACTGAGCGGTCCGGGGCGTTGGGATCAATAAGTAAAGCTTGGTTACGGTGAACGAAGCCTTCCCATTCGAGATTTGCAGGAACTCCTTGGCAAGCGTTCAGCATATCTGCGAAGAGTGTTTGTTCTCTTTGAGATTGGCTCGTAACTATCTGAGTGAAACTCATCATAGTCTGTTGGATGATCTCGATTACATGAGCCTCAAATTGCGCAAAGTTATTTTGGACTTGAATGAGATCATGACGATTGGTGTTTTCCTCCAAAACTTGCTTGTGAAGTCGATGTAGAATACCTCGGTGAACGACATATGGATCTTCGGCCGACTTCATGGAAGCAGCGCTGGATTGGTAGTTCGCAGTTTGCGATCCCAAAAGCTCAATATGTTTTTGTGTAATATTTCTAGCCTTATCGACCTCTTTTGCTCCCTTTGAAGCCCCAGAAAGTAACTCCTTAGATTTGTGTTTGATTTCCTTGTGTAATCGATCGAGTATGGGTAGTACCGTGCCTTTCAGATTCTTCTCTGTTTCGAGGTGCGAGTTTATTAAACCCTATTCAGTCAGCGTTTGCGCAATATTAGAGCATCGCGTAAATCATACCTGAGTATTCGTTCGCATGTTTTCGAACATTCCCGCCATACCTCCTAACTCCTGCTGAAAATGGTGCCCCTCTTTTAAGGGGTTTGCGATAGTCTTCAAAACCTTCTCATACTCCTTTGATTGCTGTTTTTGTACTTTCTCCGTCGCCCCAATGTATTCCTCAAGATACCCGACTGCATGTTTCCAAGCTCTCAATCTTTCTCCTAACAATTCTGAAGTCTGCGTGCGAAGATTCAATCAGCCACAGGCGTTCTCCTATCTTCCTCCAACCCCGATATTTGGCCTTTGACAATTTGCAAATTTCGCAAAGATACTCACATCCTTAGGGTTCTCCAATGGTACTGCCTCTCCCTCATCCGTACGATCTGTCAACGCACTACTAGTCGAGAATGATCTCACTGGCATGTTCGCTGGTGTCGATCCAGGAGCTCCTGCTACTTGTGACCCCGACATGTTGGCGTGCAATGACTGTTTGCGCATCATCTTGTATTAGTCTTCTTTCTCCGAAAAAGCAGCTGGTGCAAAAAGTGAAGGGAGAATGGGAGATTGATGCAAGAAGAGCGACGTATGGATAATATGCAAGAAGGTATTATTCACTATCGCTCGCTCGCTCGCTGTACTCAACTTACCTGGTCACTGAGTGGGGTGGTATTCGCGACCCTTGTTGTCGTTTGTCTTTCGGTAATCTTGAATCCCGGTTGCGAATTTGGACTTAGTGGAGTGTGCGGAGGCAAGGTACTGTATATTAAATCTTATGTCTCAGTGATCAAGGATAAGAATCTCAAATAATTCTAGAATGAAATTCACTTTCGAAGTTGCAGAAAATTGGCGATGATAATGAGGTTATTGATGAATCGAATAATGATGATGATGATGTACTCAAGCATTGTACTTATTTATGTTTCCCGCCCGAACCCCTCAGCTTCCCACTAGAACAACCCCCATTCCTTAGTTTATCAACCTACGTCATTATCCACCCTTTCGGCATCGAATAGTTGAAGATTAGTTGAAAATTAGTCTGATTCATGCGCTATCACAAAAATCACTCAAATCACTCTTTTGGTGAAACAAAGAAATGTGAAAGTTATGACGATCTTTCATCTCAAGTAGATCAGATTACAGGACCCTGATTTTCCATTTTATGGACTCGGGGCTATGACGACCAGGGACGTTTCAAATATTTCATGAAATTTATGTTCACAGCCACGATTTAAAATGCAGATCAGATAGATCGCACACTAGGGTGTCCGAGTCTTAATAGTGTTGTGGTAAATAAATGTTCAAACGTAGCGCAGAGATCTTCAACGCACAACAATACTATGTTTCCCACCATTAGTCTCCAGTGCCACACCCCCATTCACAACCTTCAAGTCCTTTGACCCCTTGATTTCCTTTCCATTTAGAACAATACTTGGAACCACCCCCGCCTTTCTTACCGGTAAGATTAACGACCCTGTGGTTCCTTCCGGCACCGCAAAATCCAACGTGTATCCCGTCTTTGTAAGTTTCCAAGCCGCTTGGAATTTCCCTAATGCAGTCACAAATCCACCTTCTGCACTCGTCAAGTCTCCGAATTGTGGTGTTAATTTCCAAGTTTTGCCCACGGGGCTAGTAACACTAAGACCCAATACAAATTCTGTCAGGGCAGATGTGGGACCTGAAGACCAGCCATGTGCGTGAGATACGTATGAGGTATCGTACATATAACCTCTGCTTGATCGATACGCAAAGGTACCATTTTGGAGATACCCTTCGATAACTGTACTTTCGGTTCCGTTAGGGTTGTTGAGATACCAACCCCAACATCGACGAATGAGATCGAGCGCACGACTCGTTTCTCCGATGGTAAAGTGGGCTTGAATCTCGAAACTCGATATGAATGGGGATATGTTTTCTGGAAGTTCGGGCGCGACAGCTCCGATTGGGGTCCAATTCTTGAGAAGGTTGGTGGAAATAGTCTGGGCTGTAGGGGAAGTTGGAGAAACAACTCCGAATAAAAGAGCCATGCTATTTGCGTCTTGAGGATGTAATGTAGTTGCCGTTGCGTTGTCTTTGAAAGATCCATAAGATGAATCGAAGCAGTATTTATTGACGGCTGTTTTAAGAGAAGCCGCCTGACTGGTCCATGTCGCCGTCAAATTAGTAGTATCACCAGCCCATTTGGCCAGATCAGCGCCAGTAAGAAGAGTTCGATAGAGGCTGTGCATTTGTTAGCTAATCACCACAGTCACATTGATGTCAAAACATACATCATTTGTGCTTCACTGTTATTGAAACCTTGTTGCCAACGCGCCCAGTCACGAATTCCTGTGACCTCGAGGAGCCCAGGAGCGCTGACTTTCCCATAAACATAATTCATCGCTAATTTATACTTCGCCCAGTTTTGCAAAAGGAACGAAGTATCATTGGTGTAAAGAACATAGTTGTAAGTTCCAATCATAGTCCACATATGATACGTATCAGAGCCCAGTTGTAGCAACGGTGGCCCTGCCTCTGGAAATGCGCCCGTCACATTGTTCTAAATTAAGTCAGTCGGGATCCTCGGTCAATGAAGCAGTTTCAAGGCGGAAAATCGGAATGCGAAAGAAGGAATTTCAATACTAGGCAGGAACAAGAAGATCAACTAAATGATAACATACCTGGTAGTTGAACATGACCTGGAGTGCATTTTTGACACTGACGAGGTCACCAATACTAATAAATGTCGATGGAACGGCGATACCCATGTCACCAGGCCAAACAGCTCGATCCCGCTTTGCGCCATCCACAATGATCGTATCGCCCGGTCCCATGGTACCATTATTTGCCCATCCCACTTTAACAGTAGGGATTTGACGTCCAGTATTTACAGGAACTGCATTTGTTTGCAGCGTGTATGCACCAGAGTACCAAATCTTGTTCAGCATTTCATCGCTGCTGTGAAAATATCCTTGGTATGCTTGTAAATTTGACCATGTTGGCTGGAATCCAATCTCAAGAACGATGCTGCTGATATTGACATTCGTGGTACCATCGGTAAGCAAGAACAAAGTCAAGTATCTGAAACCTCCACGAAGCGAAAGATCCGGCATGGTATATGTTCCCGTGCCAGCTGATGTGAAATTTGCATAGATAGCGCCATCTGGTCCTTTGAACCCTCCATTGGACGAGTCCGACCATTCCCCGATGTAATTTTTGGCTTCTGTAAATGCCAGCCCGATTGCACCAGGCCCCGAGGAGGTGTATTTGAGGGTCACGAGTCCGCCCACCTCTTTACCAAAGTCAAGAGTATATTTCGAACCATTGCCAGAAAGTCCAATCGATCCCGTGAAGCTAGATAGAACAGCTCCGGTTGTTGCGGATAAGACGGATTTCGGAGATACCTGGCGACTCGAAGGCGCATAGATATTTGCATCCCAAGGGCCTGGAAAGGCAGCTTCCAGAGGTCCGCTGCAAGTTGTGTTTTTCCAGCATGCTTGAGCAGAAACCAAATCTAAGGAAAGGGAAAGTGCGACAAGCGCAATTAAACGTTTGATGATGGCCATGATTTGAGAGCAGCACTCTGTATGAGCGCACAATGCTTCGTTGTCGATCGAATTTCAGCGGGAACCCACGCCATTTGTACACTTTCAGGAACGAACTCAAGTCGCATCAGTAATTGATTCTCCAAAACTCGGTCAATGGATATACCGAGGGAGAGTTTTTCCGAAGCGGTTGAATTGTCGAGAATTGCAGGCTTCTGCAGATCAAGATGCGGGGGAAATAGAGTACTGTGGGGTAAACACAAACCAGTTGTTGAACCCCATTTTGTTCTTCCTCTTCACCTACTGTTGGATACGCACTCGCACTGTACTCACATGGTTGACTGGGGATATGAAGCTGGCGAACGACTGCATATATGCCAGCAAAGGATCATATATTGACCCGAATAGGCGACATGACGTTGTCACCGACAGGCTACCCTGGGGGAGGCAGGAAGCAGGGAAGCATGTTTCCATGTCGGAAGATAGCAATGTCCATTCAAATTCCGGAGAGAGAAAGTCAAAATGATTGATTGGCGTTGAGTGGCAGGAAATGTCATTTGATTGATTGACTGTGTGTATGTCTGTACCTAGTAGGTTTGTGTAAATGTATAAATCAAAGATGTCTCACAATCTATAAGTCGTATTTCTCGTGATGAACTCCACACTTTTACCACTTTTACCACTTTTAACGAGACCTCGGGAGACCCTCATGTTTGAGTACGAAGTACGTGGTGTGTCTTGAAATGAGGTGGTGGGTGAGGTGAGGTTTCAAACATCCAAAATGAAGTCAATGCGAACGTTGGAACTCTCAACATTGTGGCTGTGAGGAACGGAAATCGAGCTAATCGTACAGCAAATGCTATTATTGGGTGACCGTACTCTGGCACCGTTTTATCTATCGTATATGGTTATGTTATGTACCTACCAGTACCTACGTATAATGACAGAAATTCGAAAAAGGGTCATGTCGTTTTGGTGACGGTGATTGAGGGTTTCTTCTCTCCTCTTTGCTCTCTTTCGATTTGCTTTTTTCTTATCGTGTGGCAGGAAACGGACAACGGCGGGTGCGGATACGAGACGATACGATACGATAGATGGAAGAAATGGAAGAAATGGAAGAAGAAAAAAGATTCTAGATCGATTAGCCGTTGCCCACCCACACACACACTTACAAATGCCCCTGAGCCAGCCCATGTTCTATAATTCTATAATTAACCTTGATCATAATTTCAAAGTCTTCCAAAGACTTCTTTTTTCCCTCCTTACTACTTGTGTACCCTGCCGAAGGAACACTTACAATATATACATATACATCTGTATCGAATTTTACAAAATGCCTTTGCGAAAAGCCTTTGAGATGTTTGTGATTCGCGAAAAACAGAGTGATTTGGGACCATGACAGTGAGTATGTGTGAGTAACAACATCCGGAGGCTCAATTCATCATTTGAAGCGACAGCATCTTACTCAAGTACCTACCTATCATCAGGAAGAACAAGCTTCCGGTGCGTGCCTCTCTTACCCCCTACCTCTTTTTCTTGGATTATGATTATCATGTGTTTGCGCCGCATGCCTAGGTAGCTAATCACGGAAAGGATGGTTAAGAATCTCTCAATTGTGAAGGATGACTCTAGGCGCTGTAGCAACCAAATGACATAAGAACCCTGAATACCTGGTAGACAGCGTCCAAAGCTCATCAGAGTTGGGAATACAGTCAGATGCCAAATTCAGCCCTGGATAAGGAGCAGGTGGGTGGGTGATACGAGAGAAGTCTTGGGAGATGTAAAGGATCTTCAAAAGCACAGCTGATAGAGCAGGTAGGTGTTGATATTCAATGGGAAGCTTGAAACTTGAAGGAAGAATTCTTAACAATACGAGTGAGTAGTACTATGTACTATGGCTTTAAAGTTTCATTATGTCACTATGCAGTGTGTACATGATGTACATGATGATGTATGTACTGTACTGTACTGTACTGTACGAGTATAATCGTGATGTCTAATTCTACAAGATTAACCAGTATGTCATTTGCATGAAAGACAATGCAGTTTGTCTGGTGATTCCAACAACATAGGTAGTTATATCTACTAGGTAGGTAGTGCCCAGATGTTCAGACGGTCATATATGGACTCGGACATTTGATCATTTGTCCCCTATTCGGATACCCCTATGTGATATTTTCGTCAAAGAGTGAATGTTACATGTATATCTCGGTATTTGTTGGACTCATATATCAGATTAACCTGTGGATTAC